CAGTGGGGAGTCCTTGGCATCCGTTACCGGTGATGAAAAAGCCCTCCAGACGTTACCGGTGACGTAACGGGTTGCGTTTTCGATGCTTCTCGGCTCCGGGAATCACCGCTGAGCGAGCAACTACTTGGTCGACTTCTCAGGCGTGGTCGAAGACCTGGCAAGGTCTCGGGCTGGGCCAAGTGGGTCATTTTGCACGGTGAAAGTCTGCATGCGTTGTAGAGCCACTTCAGTTGACCTGAATCGGTGAAGGTTCATGTCTGGGAACAAACCCCTGCAAGCCACAACTGACCCCTTATCTTGCTGGTCTGCAGCAACAACCACCACATTCCTCCCGTGCTGAGTCTATTTTAACCACTGAGACTGAGATCCATGAGACATCACCCCAGCGTCTTGATGCACGGTGCCTCACCACATGGAAGAGGAGTTTCGGATTCCTCCCTGAGTGGTTCGCCTCAGTGGCAGGTTCCTCCACATCCTGCTTCCGGACCAATGAAACTCTCATTTCCGGGCATTGACTGGACATCATTAGGACATCACCTTTCGATTCTTAAGCATCCCAGTGTGGGTCTGCAATCGGTGAGGTGTAGGAAGAATGATTTCAACGCGGGCATGGTGTTCGTTGTCTCCATCCTCACCGACCGGAATAATGACTTTCTCCGTTTAGCGTATTCCGCCACATGCTAAAGAGCAGTTAACCTTGTTTTGTCTGTTAGGAACCTTTTTGGATGTTTGACGAGGAGGAACCTTTTGCTTGTTGCAGGAGCCCCTCCACACAAATATACACCGGCAAAGCTGGCAAAGCATGGCAAAGCAACAAAATACACTATACTATACCCATCAACCAACAAGACTTCACAAGCCAACCAGACTTTGTTCAATTCAATCGAACTCTCCCGGTGCTCTCCTCTTCAGGTATCGCTTCTCCCGAGAAAGGTTCCTATCTTCAGCTGGGGAGGTAGATTCACAATTCAAACACCCCCTCCGGATCCTCACTCGAGTCAACGACATCACTCTACTTTTTAACACTCTGTCAGAATCGACGAACTAGTATAACCCCTTGGAAAGGAGAACATTAGCCCAAAACCTGTGGGTCTTTAGGGGTCTTACTCGTTCTTCGCATTGCCCGTGAGGGATGATTGCTGCCGGTTGTGCCGTCAAGAGGCCCGCCCTTGAGTTGCGCCAGGGCCGAAGCGGCGCCGATCTGCCTCGAGTGGGCAGGATTTCGGTGCTGGGAAACCCAGCGGGATTTCGGTGTCAGGGTCGGGGTCGCCCGCAGTTGACCCTTAAATTGATAAATCAAATCCTGGATTGAGTCCCTTTGTTTTAGCCTTGATTTTTCCAGAAGGCAATGAAAAGACCCCACTTTGTGGTTGTAAGAAAATGGATCAGCTGGAATGCCGTGGCCGCTGACTGGTGAACCTGCTCAAATAGTGAAATATGAGAGAACCACAGGAATAAATCAAAGCGGGGCATCGGTGCTTCAAAGCCTGTGAGCGAAGGAGCTGTCTCGAGGAAAAGGGAATGCGCTACAAACCATTCTGGAAGAGATCCACCATGCAGGATTTGCAGGATCCTAGCATTTGTGGACCGTTTCCCGCGGGCCACAACCAGTTTCCTGCAGGAAAACGCGACCATGATCCACCAAGGCGCACCCGTTCCCATTCTGTTCTGTTTCAACTACTAGTACCCCGAAAAGTTATCGGCAAGGATCACTGCGCTCACTTTCAATGCTACATTGAGCACCCGGATTGAAACTTTAGTAAAACCATGTTCATTCGTTTGGTATAGAATTGAGGGCTCGAGCTAGCCTACAGAACATGCAAGGAATCTTGTGGCCCCAGTGAGCTCGGACTCATGCCATGGTGTCAATGGACGCTGGTGTTTGGTCAAGTGCGATGGTGCCAGAGAAGAAGAAGTACGCATGCGATGCAGCTCTGTTGGTTGTAGTTGTGGCCAAAGGATTGCCTCGCAGGGACCAGGGAGGAACACTTTCGGCCTTGAGATTTTTGGAAACTGGAGAGCTTGCCAAAACCTTGGCAGTGCCATGCAGAGCCGACGGCTTGAACAGGATCTGGGTTGGCTGGTGAGGGTCCTTTTGCGCAGCAGGTCCCATGCAGCTGCTGCATAGCAAACTCGCTGATGACCGGATTTGAAAGCTGATGGCCGGCTCTTACTTTGAACACAGCTGTTGGCTACTAGGTCGAAGTTCGAATTGTATATACAGTAGTCAGTTTTGCTACTAGCAAAGCCGTGTGGAAGTAGTGGCTGCAAATCGCTTGCCGCTTGCGGAGTACAGGTAGTTCGAGGGCAGCTTTGCGAATTGGCCGGTGGGACACGGTGGGACAGTGTACCGCATGCTGACTGTAGAGCATCAGTACAGCTGTCCTTTTGCTGTCTGGGCGCCGCCCGAGTCAGGCAGCAATGAATTCGATGCATGTGTGGCCACAGGTGACTGCCTTGGGCAGTCATAGAAGGTATGGAACTGCATGGTACAACTCATAGACACATTGCATGTCTTTAGACGTCCCATGGTGCATGGTGCCGGACCCCCAGCCGGGAAGGATCCCCCAGCAACCAAAAAATATCCAAGCTGCTTGGCTCGCTGCCTGAGCACTGCGTTGAGCTGGTCTAAATGCCACGACGCGTTCACCAACCAGCTGCGCTGGGCCTTTGAGCGTCGGAACACAAAAGGAATCTGAGGAAAAGCCCTCAAAGTCGGCTGAGGAAAAGGGTAAATGGCCTGGCATTGAGACTAAGCTTGGTGAAGGCATCCACATGTTCAAAAGAAAGTCTCAATGTCCGGAGACATGGAATTGGAAATCGTGCTTAGTTGTACAGGTCCGAGCCTGCCATCAAAAAGACTGGTCTGTCGAATTCTCTCAGTGATCCCGTGCACCCAGCCAGTCCTGAAGATTTATGAAAGGCACCGATATATTAAAGCCTTTATGCTCGTGGATCTAGACTGCTACTAGGCATCACTCAGCGGGGTCAAATACCTCAAATGCCTCAACTACCATCAAATACCTCACCCCAAACAAACCCCAAGTCTCTAAACCAACAGCCTCCGACACCACCGGCGCCATTTCACTGCAGGTCGTCACTCCCGCCTTCATCATGTTCTCAGTCTCAATCAGCCACAGCGTCTTGAACTGCGGCCGTGGCTCGGTCGTCACTCCCACAAGCTCCGACGACCCGAGCTCCCTGAACGCCAACATGGAACCTGCAGCTCCCTGAACGCCTTGACCCTACGAATCATGAAGTCGTCTTGACCACCGTTAGACGTCCGGGCATCCGCCCTCGGCATGCGCCTTCTCCTCTTCGGGCTCGACCTCCTTGTTGCCCTCCTCTGCTTCCTCCGGTTCGATGGGCCTCGGTCGCGTCGAAGCGCCACCTCCTTTGGACGTGTTTCGCCGCGTTCGCAACCTGTCGCCCAAGAGCCACCATGGGCCATGGTGGCTGTTTGAGCCGTTCCCCAGCCCTGAGGCCTCGTCTTGGAAAGTCCCAGCCCTAGAGACTCCGCTTGAGACATGTCAAGAGCAGGTTGTGGACATTCAAGAGACTGTTTTGGCATGGCCCATCACTAGCATCACGTCCCACTCACACGTTCCAGGTACTTGCCCCGTTGCAATACGCAACACTCCTGCTCACTGACAGCTGATGTGCCAACTCCCCAAGTTGGTAAGTTGAGACCCACTTCGTTGGCAGTTCTGATTTGGGTCGTTCAGCTTCAGAATTGGTACAGCGGTTCAGGCAAAACCATGACTCTAAGTGTCGTGTGGAAAACAGACCACAAGCATTGCAGCATGATAGCATGATAGTTCCAAAGAATTCAAATAAACTTGGCAAAAAGAATCCTGTCGCACCACGGTCACTACCCGTCCGTGGGCCAAAGAACTGTCCGTCTTCATCCAGAACCTCATCGACCTTGAAAGGATCCACAATCCTGGTGCCGCTTCGGAGCGGCGGACCGCTTTCCAAGGCGTGTTGGTCTCCGGGCGAGTCGACGTTTGATGTCGACAGGGTGAAGACATTGGGAAGAAAATGGTGCTTTTAGGCCAGGAGCCCCTAGTAGCTTCTTGTTCCTAGTAGTAAGGCCAGGAGCCCCTAGTAGCGTCTTTGTTTGGCAGAATTTGTTTCTTGTTAGTTCTTCCTTTCTTTAGTCTTTTTTGAATGTGTCCTGAAAGAGGAAATGGCCGACAGGCGCAAGTAACCCGACAACCCACCCACTTTGACCAACCAGCAACCTGCACTGTGGCCTATCCACGCGAAGAGTCCAGGTGCTCATCATCCCCAACACACAATCTTGAAGAGACTCACTTCGCCTTCCCAAAACAAGACCATTGATCACTCTGTCCACTGAACGAAACGTGGCTTCAAAAACCCACGAGAAATCGCGTAAACGCGGGGCTCAAAGCTCCCATCCACTGGGAGCTTCTCACTCCACAAGCTGCACTCAACAGGACCCTTCGGGCCGCGGGCGATCCTCGAACAGAATCACATGACCAGATGCTCTGCCCACCCTTCTGAAGGATCCAAAGAAGCTAAAGACGACTCTGGTGTCCAGGCCATATGTTCTTGGGATTTCTTGGGCTACATGGATCAACGTGTGCGTGTGTGTGTGTGTGTGTGTGCCTCTCTCTCTCTCTCTCTCTTCTCTGTCTGACCCTTCAACCCAGCCTTGGAGGTCGGCTTCCTTTGTGCATATTCTCTGGGTTCTCGGTGTTGGTGGCAAAACCTACAAGGCTCTTTCTGCAGGCTCCAATCGACCCCCTCACATCTTGCAGCGTGACCCCTGGAAGCAACTTGAATCACCGGTGTCAACCTGCACAGACAAAAGGATCATGTGATACTCTGTCTACCTACATGGTATGACCATGTACAATCCTTGTACCACAATCCTTGTACCACTATTTAAATACATGGTTCCAGATCGTTGAAGAGGCCAAGATCAAGCAAAATAAGGCTTGAAAGTAGGAGGGATTAGAAGCTAAGAAAGCTTCTCAAGGTCTCGTGCCTGGCACGTTCTTGCCCACCACCCAGCTCTGCCTGAAACAGGTTCAGAGCACATGTGTTCCCGCTGAGAAAAACCAACATCCACAACTCCACCCATTTTCCGAAGTCAGTGACTAAGCAAGCTGCACTTGCAAGGGGAAAAGAGTTGCCTGTTCACTTGAGGCACAACCCTGTCAGGTAAGAGGGCAACCTCTGAAAGGGCGAAAACCAGAGTGTTCGCATTGCACTCAGATCAATGTCTTCAAATATGTCTCATTGCTGGGGCGGATGGCCCCCAAGCAATCGAACCAGCTACAAAAGTTGATCACCTGAGAGGAAAGTGAGTTGGTCACCTGACGCAAACCCCTGGATGGCCGTGAAATGGTGTAAACTTCAGAGGCCCTTTTGGACCCCATCACCTGCCAGACATTTCCAAGAAATATGAACATTGAACACCCTCTAACGATAAACATCGTGCCTGACATGTCAAGTAATAAATGCTCTCTTCAAGTGTCCGAGTGAAACTTCAAGGCACCTGGTCACCATGCAAAGCCACAGCGGATCACTCGTTCTTCTGCCAAGCCACAGCGGATCCCTCGATTCCTCCTTCATGATGTGCTCCAGGTTCTCGTTGACACCACTCACCGAGTTCATCAGAGAACCAGCCATTTTCACCAGCTTCCTTGAAACTCGACACCGGAGGTGATTGGAAGTCAGAGGCATCTGATGAGCCAGAAAGGATGTGAACGCCTTTCCAATGTGAATGCCGCCGAGCTTCTCTGTGTTGATGTCTTTGTTTGCCTGGGCCTCCATCATGATTTCGGAGTCGGCCAAAATCAGATCTAGCTGGTACTGCGGCATGTTGGGAAACTGCTCCTCGGCACGTTTGCAAATGCAGAACGAGCATCACACTTGTCACCGAATGGTGTAATGAACAGACCGACATGCTCATTGTGAGAAAATGTTCAGAGATGGCCACTCCCGAGCATCAGAGATGGCTACTGTACCTGACACCTCCCCCCACGGCGTCTATCGATCATTTGTACCTTGATTGGACAGAGACAGCTGTAAATATAAGGAGAGATGATCCAAGTCTAGTGTCCTGATGGGACCTTTTCAGCTTCTTGCATCACCTGATGTTTATCCTTCCAGGTGTTGACCCTCCGCAAACCCGTATGAGTTGTTCTCGACTGGAATTTGGGGGTATTCAATTGAAGTTTGGACGTCACGTATCGTTTTGCAGTGCTTGGCACATGGACACAGTAGGTATCGTGTTGCAAGGTTTTGCAGTTTTGCAGGGTTGGCACTGCGTAATAATATTACATATGAAATAAGGACATCATTTGGGGGGACCTCCCATATCTTTTTACCAAGGAAAACTCAAAGTCACCCTATTGGGTCAAATGCCCTTTTGTAAAGTAAATGGTGACAAGCGCTTCTCATCCACCCTGTACCTCCTGAACCTATCTAAACCTACTCAAATCCTGGTCTGTCACCCTCGGACCACAAAGGCATGCATTGGCTGGATGGTGCTCCCATCTTCGCCCTCCCCGTCTCCTTCATCGCCTCTCCATCCAACAAATCCGGGCGATACCGGTCCGAACACATCTGAGCGATCTCCAACTCACTGACCCACCTCCTGTGGCGCGGAGTACGCTGGCAGCTGGCTGAGGATCTTGACTTTTGGGGTTCGACATGGTTTCAAACAGCCACAAGTCGGCTACGAGTCTCTCTCTCTCTCTCTCTCTATCTATCTATCTATCTATCTATCTCTCTATATATATAGAGAGAGAGATCCTGGCCAGAAGGGGTGCACGCAGCCTGTGCCCTGTCACGCAGCCTTTTTGGGCACGGTCGTTTCGCCGAGCAGGGTGAGACAAAAAGGGCCACCAGAAAGAGGGCTGAAAGATTGCATAAGGGCCATTCTCTGTGTGTGGTGCAAATGTGCTGGAGATAAACATACAATCAAAGCCCTCTTAGGTCTTGGATAGTGTACTACTAGGTACGTGAATGCACATGCAAATGAGAATCTGTTAAAAAGGGACAAGTGCAAAGCATCTTCGTTCGGCCCGTTCTACCGGCAGTCATGCCCTCTTCCTTTAATGTCGGTCCTTTTGGTCATGGCAAGGCCCTCTTGCAGAGTGCTCACAGGGTATGGCCATCTATGGTTGCAGGATCCAATCTTATGGTCAAATCTTCAACAAAGTCTATGGTTGGATGATGCAATTATTTGGCCAACCCTGAGCTTGGCTAAACAGGAAAACTTTTGTCATTTCGCGCCCATTTGCCCTTGCAAATGCACTGCCACTCGACGCGCAGCACATTCCTTAGCAATCCAGGCAGAAGCCCGCAACCAAGCATCGAAGTGCAATGGGGAAGGAAAAATAGGTCACAAGAGTCACACGAGACAGAGATATTCAGACACAAAAAAAGCATCCACCATATCCAAGCTTGCAACCCCAAGAGATATGTATGCTATCATCATGTGGGTTGAAGCTTTGCCACAAGCTGTCAGATGGATCTGGCAAATCATCTGCCACGGATCAACCAAGCATGCAGCCCCGTTTGGGCGCAAACCACCTGTCTTCGTCTGGATGTGTTTATCTTCAGAAAGCTTGCAGGTCCTTTGCCAGGGTCCTTCTTGCTGCTGCCCACTTTACCCGGGAGCTCTTGTGCAAAGCCTTGTATGTCTGAACTTCTTTCTTGCTGGACGTAATCGGAAGACGGAAGGGCAAAAGGAAATCGGCATACTGTTACAGTATATCTATATAAGTGAAGAATTTTGGTCTCAAAGGCCTTTTGGGAGCCCTAGGCAAAGTACAAAGTAATCTACCTCCGAGTTCAAGGTTCAAATATCCATCTACCAGCCAACCGAAAACCCGTTTAAAGACCAGGAGCCAGAGGCATCTTCGGACCACTTCGGCCGCTTGTTGCACACTGGACAGGAAGAAGGCACCCAAAAAGATGGTGGCCTTCGCATACAAAACCGACCAAGGGCGCAGTTGGAAGAGCACATGGAAGCTGAGCTACTTAGCAGCAAGTGGTAGCTATAACTTTGTGCCCTTTTGGCTGTGTAGTCTTCAATTGTCAGTTCTTGCGGCTTAACACAGACCAGAATAGATATATAAGTACAAATGCCTCCAAAGAGTAAGTGACTAGACAAACACCACGTTGCAGCAACATTGAACGGTATTTAAACTCCCACATGTCCAGCCACATCCGAATATGTATCATAAATGGTTGCTTCGTGGTCCGCGTTTGACCCGTCCAAGGAAGGGCCTGCTCCGACCAGCGCAAGGACCAAAGGGTGCGCCCGATGAAGTTGAGAACCTCAGACCGGCTGAGCGCCGGTCGAACATAACGTTTGTGCCGTCGACCAAAGCTATATTGCCTCTTTCCAGATTGTAGGGGTCCAAAGAACCATGAAATGGTCACTCCAAAGGTGTCAGAGGCCATGACTTCCCTTAAACAATCGAAGAAACCTCTAGTCTGGCTATCCAAGTTACACCAGCTAAAGTGGGAAGCCATACCCTCAGGCTGGCCAAGCAACAATGGCAAAATAGTAGACCACGGGTGGCTGCGGATACCTGGTCGGTGTGCTTGTTTGTTGCAAGAGTTCATCTGTTCACAACCAGCAAAATACTCACCACACTTACAGTATCTCTTCATATCTTCTAGCTTCTAAACTCCCTCTGCTGGCTTTTTCCTCCACTTTCTTCTGCATTCCGAGGCACAACAGGGTGGGCCTCAGCCCAAAGTTGCCGAGTTTGAGCGGGACCCAATGCAAAAGACCCCAATCCATGACCAGGTCCCACAAGAAGGAGAAGGCCGAATTCACGATGGCCGCCAGCGCCCACAAGACCTCGAAGTCCTCCGACGTGAGCATGGAGCCATTGATACCTCGAACGTGGGAAGTTCGGTGAGACATGGAGGTGGCGGATGAAAACATGAACAAAGGTTTTCACTAAGACCAAGCCCATTTGATGCATTTGGCCCACAACTTGCTGGCCTGGGATCACACGCGCATGGCACATGGCAAAGAAGACCACCGGCAGTGCCGAGAGGTACTTCGCCAGATTGATCCGTTGCAGGTCCCGGTTCCAAGCATCCGGCGCGTGGCGCGCCGTGATGACGCACTGACGTGCACGGATGAGGAAGGGCACGGACCAGGCCAGGTAGGGCAGGCTGGAACCGCTGCACCTGCAAGGGAAGCTGGGAAAGTATGTGTAACAAGGAAAAAGTTCTCACTCGATGGTGTTTCTCTCTCTCTCACACACAGAAGCAGAAGAAGAAGAAGAAGAAGGAGGAGATCAAGAAAATGAAGAAGAAGAAGAAGGAGGAGATCAAGAAGATCAAGAAGAAGAAGAAGAAGGAGAAGGAGAAGGAGGAGAAAAAGAAGGATATCAAGAAGATCAAGAAAAAGAAGAAGAAGGTCAAGAAGATCAAGAAGAAGAAGGAGAATGAAACCACACACAGAAGTCGCCCAACTTACAGCATTTGAGAGCAAAGTTTAAAGTCAATCTGCTCGGTTCCCTCCCCTCTTTGGATCCCAAGGCACTGATCCAAAGCTGTGGCCAGAACCCCCTGGGCCGTCAACTCCGGGCGCTTGATGGGCGACAAAGTACCCAAGGTCCCCAAGGTGCCCCCCAAAGTGCTCTTCAGCGCCGGTTCGCTGCTGGAGATCACGATGCAGGAGCCTGTGGTCAGGTCAAAGAAGAGCTTGGCGACCTCGTTTGGAACGACCAGTCGCAATGGTGCAGTTCAGCGAAGGATTCGGAGTCCTTCTGAGGTCCCGTGGTTCACTCCTGTCTGCTCCCTCTCAGATTTAAGGTGGCCCTCCAAAATCAGGGGTCGCTTTTGAGTCAGCTTCCCCAGTACCAACCCATTGGGCACCAGGCCCCAGATCTCGTCGACCCTTGAGATTCTCCTAGCAGCACCCCTGCTTTTCTCGGTTCTGACATCACTCTCCAAAATAGAGCCGTGAAAAAGGAACTCCTGCCGCCTGCCACTTCCTCCACCCCACTTCTGCCAACCATAAGCTACACCGGCACGGTACCTTAGCTTGGATGTTCCAGAACCCACTGCTTAGACATGATCACCACCAACCAACTTCAAAAGATTCCAGAACCATCCCCTCCGCTTCCCCCACCATCCCTTGATCTTCGCCACTGAGGTGAGTCCATCCGCCACCAGGACCTCCGCGAAGGGGATCTCCTTCGTGGTGTCCGGCCACACGCAGCGCCGCAGCGCCTGTGCGAAGGGCTCACGCCAGCGGCAGTGCTCCCGCCAGCGACGTGGCAGGACACCTGGCAACACGCTGCCGGGAGGGATGGGGCACGAAAAGGAATCAGGTGAATCCAGCAGGCTGGTAGTTTTGGGCCACGAACTGAGCCAGGATCAAGATGCTACAGTTCAAGCTGCTTAATATCAAAGTGGCACACGACCTCTGAGATAGTCGACCGAGTGATCCTTGGATTCCACAAGTTGCCGGCATCGTCTGTGGAAGACAGAAGCAGGGAAGCCGGGAAGCCAAATCGGGAAGATCGCACGGCAAACTGCTGAGGACAAGCGACTTATTTGATCATTGTGACGCAGAGCTCAAAAAGCTTTGTTCAAGTGGATTCAGCACCTCATGCACAAATGTGTTTTGTCTGTTGACAGGGAAGAGGCAGAGGCATGGTCACCAACCGCATACCAATCATTTTACATCATTCTACTTGGATTGGGCATTGAGGATTGGGCTTTCTTTTGGAACTGTCTTGAGAGCCTGCGGAATTTTCTCTGGGTGAGGGTGAGTGTCGGGTTCGTCACGAGACAGCTTCGATGTTGGTCACGACTTCTGTGACAGCTTTTTTGATCTTGGCCTTGTGTGGCCTTTGATCGACAAGACCTATACGATTGGACACAGGAGCTGCTTTTCATCGCAATATACTTCGAGTCCCCTGGCTGCTTTTCTTCTTTTACCAGACTGACCCATGCCAGCCGCTTTTGGTATACGCTCCTGTAACACGCGAGGTGTACGGCCTATGTGATTCTGTTGAGAATTACCTCCTGGAATGATACTACTTCTGTAAGCGTCTCATGGCAAGTGGTTGGATGTCGTTGTCTCGGCACTTCAGCGCAGGCCATGTGATTTGAGATATTGAAATGGGATCTTCAGTCAGTGTGAAATGTTTTATCTTGGCAAATCAACACCTTTTGGCAACTTTACAGATACTATTCTGATCTCTATAAAAATGCTCTTACCTGGGACAAACTCCATGTACCCGAGTCTATGATTCGAAGGGCATTGGAATGCGTCGATATGCGTCGATGATCGCAAGTTGGTTGTGCAAGATTGAAACAGTTGCGCTAGCCCCCGTAGCCATGCTGATGCATCCCATCTCCTGTGGACTTGAGGATCTATATAACTCAGTATGACCGTTCTCCAAGAAAGAGAGAGAGAGAGAGAGATAGAGGGATAGAGATGAAGGAGGTGGCTTACACACCAAACCAAACCGGATATGGCCTCTGTTCTTTGGTTGAAATGATCGCGCAGGCATCCCCGAAAGACCGTTTGAGTGAACCTCCGATGGCCAGGGCTAACGCCTGGCGCATTTGGACCGCCCTCTGTCCAGACCAATCATTCGATTGGCCTCCCTTGTTTCAAGGTAAAACGAGTCAACAGGCCGTCGGCGGAGCGTTACCCATGGCATCCCAAATACCACATGTACAGGGGGCGTTAGTTCCGGAGTGCACCGTTCCATCTCCGTTCTGTTCAGCTTCCGTTCTGAAATGCGTGCGGCGTTCCGATCCGCGCGGTTCGATCCCGGTGAGTGGACCTCTGGTCCTATCTGCCCTACACCCAAACACGGACGTTATCGGTTTTGAGGTGGACCTTATCGTTTTACAGGGTTCCGTGCACAAATCTGCCCCTCTCTACTAAAGTGGTCTTCACAAGTTTTGATTGTGGCTCATTTGACGATTGACTCGCTGTAGAGGGCAAAGGGGAGTGGACACCCTCGACCTTGTCTCTTGTATAATAGTGAGCTCAAGAGGCTATTGCAAAGTCAGCTTTTTATGCGTAAACATTCAAATCTCCCTTCCCTCATCTTGGTAATCGTTCCCCGCTCCCCCCACACAAAAGCATTGGACTGATTGGATGTCACAACAGCCCAGTCCGCCCAGTGCACAGACATCAAACGTGCCTAAGATCAGCAAGAGCACCACCACATAGCACAGCAGCACCACCGAAATCAGCTCAGTGGATGCTCCGTGCAAGGAGGCGAGCATCCGCACCAGGCTCAGCATCAAGGCCAGGAAGGCAGACAAGATCACCAAGAAGCGGGAGGAAATGAACCTCAAATTTGACCCATCGGTGCGTCTCAAGGACTCCAATCTCGTTTAAACCCAGCACGGAATCGGAAGAGTCGATTGGCTAGATGGAACATGATGGGCAAGGCATCCCTTCTTTGGTGGGACAGCAATTACAGTATATAGATTTCTTTGGTGCATGGAGATGCAAAGAGAAAAGCGGCTACTAGTTTATCTGGACTTCTTCATTCTCATATCTATTGGATTTTGTTCACTCTTATTTTCATTCTTTAAAATCTTTCCGCCTGTTCTAGAAGCTACTAGTAATAAGGGCATCGCTACTAGTAACAAGGGCATGGCTACTTGTTCAGTGGGTATGGTTGTTCGGTGTCCAAAGGCGTTGGACTGGTACTTGGATCGACAGGGTTCCCTTTCGGAAGGGGGAAAGCATGTACGGGGGCCTGGGGCCTGAAATCCCTGCCTAGCAAGTTGTTCATGACACGTATGAGGGAATGTGACAGGAGGTTGGTGACTGGGAAGTGTCCGGGTTGGTGAAACTCTTCAGTTTGTAGACACTGGGATGCCAATGTTCTTTCCGAGTAGCTCCTCCTTTGTAATGCCCAAGACGGCCGCATAGTCAATGTGGTATCTGGTAAACAGGCTCACATTTGCGGCCCATCCCACCAGAAAGAGGGCCACCATGTAGCCTGGACGAACCACATACCAGAGCGCTTGGACCGACTTCTCTTTGACGGCATCTTCAACGAGGCCTCCATCCATGAAGCGCCAACTGCGCTAGCTGTGGGCAACTGAAGCGCCCATGTCAGCGCAGCGAACGAAGAGATGGTCAGAACGAGATCTACGCAATGGTCTACACGTGGAAAGGTCCACATCTGGTGAAGAGTCGTACTTGGTTAAAAACGATTCTTCTCAAAAACCGTGTTCAAAACGTCGAAAAGAAAAACACGTCGGAACAGGGCCGGTGAGTCGTCGCAATCGTGTGAATTGTTGTGGACGAAAGGTCCAATGAATGCGTTTGCGCAGTGAAGTGGGGTAGTCTGAGCTTCATCTTGAAGTTGAACGTTACGAGTATCGAGCTACCTGTGAACGGAAAGAGCCAGCGGGCGAGCGAGCTCTAGGTGAAACGGCTTCTGTCGATAAAAGGGGGATTGTGAAAACCCGTGACCCTCTCCTTTTGTAAAACGAGGTATCACAGTCCCCCTCTGGAGGCTAATTGCAAAAATATCCTGGCTATCCCGAAGAGGCCCGACTTAGGCTTATGCTCATGTGGTACAGAAATGCAAGACCCTCTGTTTACAGTAAATCCACAAATCTCTAAGAGTCTAAGAAATAAGCACTAGTATACTTATTCTGGCCACGGCCTGATTGCGGCCTCGTCTCAACAAAACGGTGGTCAAAACCGGTTCTGAGTCCTGATTGTGATCAAGCGGTACCAGAACTGGGTCATAGTGTGCCAGACCTCGGTTTGGTGCGCAAAAAGGCCGCGTCACCCCAACCACTGAGCGCCCGTCTCCATCGACCAAACCACCCCCGTCATGGCACGGGCACGAAACATTGGATGCACTGGCACGAACCAGGCAAGGGTGCTTTAGAGAGAGATCCCTAAATAATCGACAATTGCAAGAAGTAGAAACCGAGAAGAAGAGTGGCCAGAAACGAATGACCCCCGGCCGCCGGCACCTCAATTGAGAATGAAAAGAATTGTAAGCTTGAATAAAATATAACTGGGGCCCTCCTCACTTTCTGCTCACTGTCATCTATTGTGAGCCAACGTGTATAAACAAGCTTTTCTTCTGGCGGATTGATTGGATCATGGCCTTATTCTTCAGATTCACTAGTTTAGATTCTTCGGATGCATCTCCCGACTGAAGGTCCCAAGCTCAATTGGCTGGTTTATAGTATTTAGGTTGAATCTGTCATGACGTGTCATGACCTATAGACTCTAGACCATCATAATAATAGACCTCTGGATATCAAAGACGCCAAGAACCGTGTGAGACCTTTTTCAAGGGAGCGTGAGCTGTCCTGCGTCCAGTAGGTAGTAGCGGCTAGTTAGTTGCCCTCACCCTCACTTAATTAAGTTGGCGCGGGCCAAAAAGAAAAGCAACAATAACAAATAAGCAAACAGAAAGAGACAGCTTCGCCAGGAGACCGCTTCTCTGCTTTCTTCGGCCTTTTGGACTTCCTTGTAGGTGTCCAAAATGATGGCGATCAGCAAATTGATCAGCAACATGTTCACGAAAACCTCATTGTGGCATATGTTGAACTGCACATGGGGTCCACAGGGGGGCGCTGGGAAGAAGAAGTGCCTAGTGCAAGTGTCCCTGCAGATTGTATATCTACTCGGCAAAAAGACGCAAAGTTTGAGAGTTTGAGATTGAGTGTGTATGCGTGCCATGACTATACACTTATCAATTTATGGACCCAAGAAGCTTCGTGAATACAAACGTCAAACCCAAACTGCCTGAAACGTTCCGAGCACTTCCAGCAGCTCCTGAATGTTCTTGTTACTAGTAGTAAGAATGCTCCTAGTAGCGATGCCAGGAGCCCCTAGTAGCTCCTTGTTCCTAGTAGCTTCTTGCTTCTAGTAGTATGGCCAGGAGCGCACCTAGTAGCGTCCTCGCTCCTAGTAGCGATGCCCTTTGTTCCTAGTAGCTTCTTGTTCCGCTGAAATGAAGAACGAATCAAACGTCCCATCACCATCCACGTCCCGCAACCAAGGAACTACAAAGCTCCAGACCCAAATGGCCGAGGACCAGTAGTTCTCTTCCTGCCGAAGGTCGAGATGAGAGGTTGCTTCATGAACATCAGAGGAAAAGCCCCAACGGCAGAGTAGCCAACCAGGTGTTCAAACCCTATAGTCATGCAGTAGCTCTCTTCCCTTCTTAGACTCTTCTGTTCGGCCCAGAAAGCTCGGCGAAACAAAACAACTCCCAAAAGCTCGCCTGAAAGGCCTCCCAGTCGTATTCGCCTTCCTGAGTCATCCGGAAGATGTAGCCTCAGTCAGAGGGTGAGGCTGTCAAGCGCACGTCGTGCGCCGCATCCGGCAGGGATCCAAGCGGTCCAATCGGCCGACGTGAATTAGTCGTCACACCGAAACACGGCTCCGGGAAAAGCTGGGGCAGTCTTTGCCCGCGACGAGCCCACTTTTTGACCTTTTCATTCATCCTCCAAACCTGGTGGTGGGTCACCACGACTTGTTCTTCACTCTTGCACTTGCCAGCAGAGCCGCCGGTGTATGGAATGGTCTACCTATCGCGGGATTCACAGCTACCTTGGTGGATCTTCTTTAGGAGAACAGCTGGAGAACAGCTGATTCTGACTCTCTCACCAACGGTCCAAGAGGCCCATCGATCCCCAGAAGGTGGAAACGTCCTGGCCACGGTCACGCCAACGCCACGTAACGTAACACCACGGCTTTCATACACTGAAAGCAATGCGAGTGGTCTGCTTCGGGGCGTTCATCAAATCCTTTTGGGCTCAAGACCTGTTTCATAGTAGGCCGGAACTTGGATTCTGACAGAAAAGGAACCATACACTAAGCAGGAATCAAGTCTAGCAAGCTGGCATCAAGAAGACAAGAGAAGGCTCTGCCTGAATCCGCCGGCCAAACAGGAGTGTGGCGCTGAACCTGGGTGCAAAAGTCCGCTACATTGGGACCACTGGTGCATGGTGTGGGTGTCCATCATTTGGCAGATCCAACAAAAGTAAGTCATCCCAAGCTCATAGTTCCCAAGTTTATCAACTTGAGTATATATCCCAAATAACAAAAGAGTAAGATGTCTACATCAACTTGAGTATCCGAAGAACCTTCACAGCTTGAGTATCCCAAGCTCGTCCCCTGGCCTGCCCTTCTCCCAAGCTGTTTGGAGGTCACTTCAGGATGGAACCAGGTCCAAGGCACACATACACCAGAATGGCTGGAATGAAGACCACAATGAAGTGGATGATTTCCTGAGCAAATCCATTGGGGAGGGGAGGCTGAACGAGTCAAAGAGGCTAAACAAGTCAAACAACTCGTCAGTGATTCGACTGGAGTGATCACCAGCCAGTTTGATGCCCATTACGTCTCACAGTAGAAGAAAGTGTGAACTGATGGCAGCATCTCTTGCCCTCTACGTGTTCATCTTCTTCGGGCCTCTGTCATGGAAGTCCCCGCACGACCCACGCCCTTGGGTAGGGATGAACCCTGACATGAACAGGATCAAACGAACACGTGATCCTAGCTGTCTGGATCACGTAGAATAATTGAAAACTTGAAGCCTCTTGTTTGGCACACCAACCCAACCCCCATCCCACCCCAAAGCCCAAATGTGCAACACACACTCCAACCCTACACCGTGCACTGACATCCCAGATATCCGAAAAGGCTCCACAATGAGGGAGCCCAAGGTGTTGGTGATGATCGCCAGCTGTGGCTGTGCCTGGAAGTTCGCGAAGAACCGGAACCTGAACGCCGCGATGCGAAGAGACCCAGCGAGGAAGAGACAAGCCTTTGCCGTGTGACAGGCCTCTAGGAATCAATTCGACAGCCTAGCACTCTGACTCTGCTTTTTCAATACAATCCATAGGCTCGATGCCTACCTGCCGGCATTTGGAAACACTTTGCTAGCTCAAACAATAGCTAAGGCAACTATAGCAGGGTGTTAACGCCAGGTGTGCCAGGACAATGGGAGGGATGCCCACCACTTGCTAAACAAGATGATCCTGCTGGCAGTGGCATCAAGGCGTTGTCCAATGGCCCACCCTTTTTGGCTTGAGGCCATTGGAGTCAATTGAAGCAGTGACAGGATGCCGATGCAAACTTCATATGTGGGGCCTTGGCAAACACTACTTTCCAGAATTTACAGCAACTTGGATAGCTGCAGCAGCTGAGTGATCGATAACAAAAAATCTCTCTCTCTCTCTCTCTTCTATCGGTTCTACTATCTGTCCTCAGAACCAGCATCATCCCTCTCTAGTTCTCACATGCTCCAAGCAGCGTGAGGATCAAGGTGTAGTTGGCTGCAAGCAGCCGCAAGCTCAGAAGTTCATTGGAGGCCGACTCACCTTAGACCACCAACTGCTTCCACCACCACCAGTTCGGGTGGTTGTTAGTTGTTAGATAGAAAAGTTATTAGATGGAAAATAGAGAATAAATAGTCTTTTGGGGTCCTTAAACCACTCTTTTGGGTGGTGCTGGCAGGTCGTTTTCCTTTTCTTCAGCACCAGGTCCGGCCAGGTCCCACCCGATTTGCGCCGGCCGCGGGAGCTCAGCGACCACCCAGCCACACCCAGCGACCTCCCGCACCATCGGTCTCCAAGCGACCCACTTGGAAGAGGTCCTCCACCACCTGAGGCACCAAATCAAGCTATCCATGCTTTCTCTCACCATCCAGTGACCAGTTGAATCTATGGATCTGCATGCAAAACATAAAGACCTCCCACTGTTCGACCATCCTGGAAGGAAGGAAAATAGACCAACGTCGGATTTCATGGGATCCCCCCACACCGCTATGGGGCATCCTCCCACTCCAGGCCTTTTGCTGCTCATCGTGCACATACCAGCCATTGGCCCGGAGGTCGGTCACGATCTCCGTCGTCTTCTCCTAACCCAAAACGGCCACGTCCCACGTCGTCGTCTCACCCAAGTGCCGCCACGTTGTCGTCTCGAACTTTCGGAAAAACAGACGATCCAAACCCCAAAATGATTTTTTCACAGACGTGCCGGCACGATTGAGCCTTCGTCTCTCTGGCGTCAGAATGACGAAGTGACGTCTTTTTTTCAGATCGATCGAAGGGCGGTCTTTCCAGTCCAAAGGAACCCAAAAGTAGTTGTGGCTTGTTGAGAAAGCCCCAAAAATCCCAGTCTTACCCAGCCTTGGTGAGGAAGACCATGTAGAACTGGGCACCTCGGGTTGTGGTTTGAAGCCCTCTTCAAGACTGGTCCATGGGACCGTGACGAGAAGAGAAGAGATTCAGAGCGGGGGTCCGAAACATGCGACCCAATCTGTTGCGCTTGGGCTTGTTGGTTGATTTGTTCGGCTCAAGTAGATCTACACACGCAAAAGGGAGCAAAGAGCGGCAAGAGGTGGCCTGCATGGCGGGTCACTGCTAGTCGCACAATAATGTATATAAGCGGATGAGTCCAGAGTTATTCTTCTGCAGCCGTTTGTGGCTTGCCCGCGGTGCTCTCCTCAAATGGAGAAGCACGTGACAGAGTCATTTAGATTATTGAACTTGTATTGTACTGAAGCACATGATTGAAGCTGGTGCCGTGGTGCTGCACACAGGAAATTCTAAATGCGCTGAGAATTGTGAACAAGGCACAGAAATAGATGCCGATGGCAATCACCAGCAGCTCAAGCAAGTTCCTGCCACTCCAATCTCACTCTCTCTCTCTCTCTCTCTCCCAGCTGACCCCAACAGAACTCTCACTTCGATGACCCCACTGGTATATTGGCCACTGAGATGCCATTTGTGAACGGCTTTGCTTCTACTGCACATGCGCTCGACCAATGGCTTTGCGCAGTCGGGCGGACCGCGGTCCGAATGTCACTGAGGTACTTCTTCACGCGCCGGTCCCGGAGCGCGCGCCAAAGGACCACCGCCTGCAAGATACCTGACGCAGCGGAGGAAGCGGAGGTTTAGGATCTCTATGGTTTGATGGAACCTCGAGAAGAGTCTAAGGTGGCTGTAATGGATGTCACCTGGACCCCAGTCTTGCTCAGGAAAGCTTTTCCGTGACACCGTCATAGCAGCAAGTCGCCACTCCAGATGCGTGCCCACAAAAAATTCAACTTCGGCTTCAACCATGAGATGCTCGATGGTGCATCTGTGAAGACGAATTGGATTTCCCAAACGTATTTGGCAACTTTCAGCCGGTTCTAGCAGGGACAATTCCTGGTGTCCTCAACCAAAGCAAGTTTGCGAATGTCTGGCGCCTGTGAAGCAAAGGGTGAGGAAGAAAAAACCATCAGCGACCATGCAGAGAGTATTGGGGAAGATCTTGAAGAAAATCGCTTGGAAATCTCGGCTGTAGTAGATGCCTCAGAGTGCCAGTCCCATGGGCAAAGAATCGCTTGCTTCTGGATGAATCCCCAGAAGCGGCAGCTGAAAGAGATCATCCAACTTTGAACGCCACAAGCCGTGGACATCATACGTCTAGCAGACATCCGGTACGACCATATCAATTGGTACAGTCCGGTACAGTGGTTGATCCGTCCTACTGGGCGATACACAGCATGGTTTTTTGGGGGATCCCCTTTACTTCACAGGTCTGTTGCAAGTGTATACACCGAACTCTGGGGGCAGGACCAGGCAGGACAGGGCAACCTTTGATCAAGTCAATAAAAACTTCCTCACGCTGGGTGTCTGGTTCGATGCAAGTGTTGGGCTTTGTGGAGCAGCCAAGAAGCTTCCGCCATCTGCGAAGAAGAAGGTGAGAGTGACCTGCTCCATGTTCGGCTGGCCAAGCTCCGAGTTCAACAAGTACAAACCTCAAGAAGGCAGAAATTCTAAGTCTAAGTGCCACAAAGGTCTCAACTAATCTGCAAAACGATGCTACGAGCTATGTATATATATATATAATATATATATATATTCTTTTTCCGTGCCCCAAGGGTTCCAAGAAATCCCAACTCAATACTCCAATGATCCAATGCATCTCGGTAGCGAATCTGGAGGACTCGAGAGTCCTTCACAGAAACACAAAACCCTCGACACATGATGGGTGACATCGCAGCTCCGCCTTTCAACTTTTTACAAAAGGTGGAGCCATTTGATGCCCCAAACAGTGTGGGAGCGACGATATGATGGAAGAAAGTCTAGCTGAGAAAAAAAAAAAAAAAAAACATGTGCGAATAGTATACAAATTGCGCACCTTTGAAGCTAAGAGAGCGCCCATGGCCCTGTCGTCTAGGTGTTTCGTTAGCTTCATGCTAGTTTCCCGTGAGCACGCATGTCCGGTCAAAAAACAAAACGCCAAACCCACCAGCACGAAGCTGTAGTCCTTAGATCCGGGCTTGCTGCTGCTTCCACACTGGGGCAAGCCGGGAGTCGTTGTTTGGTCGTTTGATCCCCAGCCCACCTCGTCCAGCCAGTTTCGGCCGCGGAAGTACTGCAGACGCTCCATGGTGCGGCTGAGATCCTCCGAGGGGTAGATGTAAAACCTCCCAAAATGGCGCAGATGGCACGGCTTGGCCATGAATGAAGACCTCTGTCGTGTCAAAAGTGAATGCACATGTTGGTGGAACTACTGGGCCAGCAGACGGCTTTGAGAACAGATCCGGACTGCCAGGGCCTAAAGAGCTGCATCTCATCCGAAGACTCCTTGGGCAATGAGGACCTCAGCAATTTGGTCTAAAGAGACAGTTCATGAACTTCATGACAGGTCTTTTACAGTTTATGCAGAGGCCTAAAAAGATGACAGTTCATGATGCTTCCATGATCATGGGATCTATATATATATAATGGGGCACCATATGTGCCCCGCCCGATCGGACAGGCCAGAACAAGCGAACTGCCTCGCGCGGACGTGGTCGGAACGGGGCCCAAGCCCAAGAGGTGGATTTGCATGTTCCCACCGTCGAACGGACTCCCACGCACTATCCATTCGATGGGATGGGGGTCAAGCTCCTGCCTGTCCAAGAACCTTCGCTCGTCAAGCTGTTAATCTTTACAGTTCTCACAGCAGCCGCCCCTTGTTGCCACGCTGCTGGAGAGTTGGTTGCATCAAAGACAACCGCCGAGGACTCCTGATCAGCAGAAGACTTTAAAATGATGTCGATGCCAGTTGGGGTGGTCCAAATGGATAAAGGATTCCACGCAAATCCAAGAACCTAGGTAACCTAAGCCTCAAGGACTTTTTCGTTGCACGACTTCAATTCCATTGATTTCCATGGATCCCATCGCCCGCGCCGGGCGGTCGCATCTTCTCGAGTGCGGCCGAGCAGCAATTCTTCGGGATCTGCGGTGTGCTCCTCCAGCCTCAAGGTGGAGCACCGCTGGATGAACGTGGAAGGCTCGGAACTGAAAAGAACTGCGACGCAAAATTGGAAGTTCACCCTGTGAATCCGTTAGACTCTCGATCTTGCATAGGCATAGATGGGATATAGTTAATTGGATGGGATTAGGATGTTGTTCGAGAACCGAATTCAAGCACAGAGGCCATGTCGAAGCCAACGAATCTCAAAAATTGGACAAAAAGCATCAATGGAGATCATCTTCGGAAACCGTGGTGGTATGATGCGACAAGGAGACTTCAACTGGGTGAATTGCGATGCCATGTCGTGGGCTGTTGAATGAGATCTTTTGCCAAAATCAGGCAGGTTTTTTCAACCTGGCACCGTCCACCTAAAATGGTGCTTCTCTTTACCCTTTCAAGTTCACAGCCCACTAAATAGCCCTCATGTGGCACAACTGTTGGAGCATGCATTGGAGTCGAAACAAGTAGATCCTGAATCAACTTTGGTCAATTGACTGGTCAAAGCTAGACTTGCAAAACAAAAATGGTGTGTGAAGATGCCCTAATCCACTCCTTTTCTTGTTGTTCACCTCAAATAATAACACCCCACAAACCAAGATGTCGCTGACAAAAGAACTTCAAGGCAAATGTCACCCCTCTCTCTCTCTCTCTATCTCTCTATCTATCTATCTACAGTATCTATCTGTCTCTCTGCAGAGTCTAGCTGGCACTCAGCTGTCTCACAGAGACACTCTGACGGATCAAGCTGCACTAATCGAACGTATGTGTACATGATGCATCCGAAGAAAAAAATGAGCTTCCGTCCTCTACCATGAGCAAATGGCTCAACGGTTCGTTGCGTTTCAACTCCAGCCTCCCGACCCGTCCGCGCGCGGAGCGCGTGCGCGAACTTCGCTGCCTGCGGTTTGGATCTGGCCAGTCTCCACCTGGGCGGACGTTTGCCACTTAAAATGCAAGAGACCCTCGGGCTGCTGGAGCCTTGGTTGGATGAGAAATCCATCCATGTCAAACCATTTCTGCTCAACCTTTCAACTCTTCTCTATTCAACCAAACAATCCCTTCCACACATCACCAGGCGTCCGCCCCGGTCCCCAGGCTTCCAGGCAATCAATCGGTGCAGATTCGCCCGACGAGACCAGGTAGGCGGGCTGGAAGCCGCGATTGCTGCGACAGAGGAAGCCTCGACCGGAGCGACCCGCGCGCGGTGCGGACCGGATGCGGAGCGAGGTGCGGACCATGATGTCCGGACTGAAGGACATGCAAATGAAAAAATAACAAAGCCGAGCAGCAAGTCACATTGCTGTTACACATGTAGATCTTGCCAAAGCCAGCTGCAGTTCTTCCTTGGTATAGACTTGGATGAAATCGGTAGGGTCCAATCTGCAGCTAGTCGCCCTGGAAAAGCAAAATGAGCTGCCAAGAAATGTTACTGGAATTCTTTGGACGATCTTTCCATATCTTTCTGAGGCAACTTGGGTAGAACCAGGGAGCTTCTCAAGTAACAATCAAGGCACGCTCGTCAGATCTGATTCAGATCTTCCCCTTTCAAGACACACTACAGAAAGGCATCAAAATGGCCTTCGAGCCATTCCAGTATTCTGGCAAGGCACGGGTCTGCTGAAAGCGGATAGCACCTGACGCATGGCAGTCTTCAACCGATGTGTTGAGACACCGTCGACTTCAGTCGCGTCCCGGCGGATGTTTCAGAAGTCATGTTTGTCACTCTTTTTTGCATTTCAGCAGCAACCCAAGACAACCTGAAATCCAAAAAGTTTCCTGATAATTAAGGGTCCTTTGAACTCCAGCTGTGCAAACCACACTCCACACCACACTCCACAAAAGGCCCGGCTTTTCCCGCTGTCGCAACGACCCGTGCGGAAAAACGCCCCCTGCGCCTTGGATCTGGTTGTAGACCCCCACCTGTCCCCAGGTGCCCCACTTGTCCGTCGCCGTGGCCGGGGGCCGCTGGATGGCTCGCCCGTACATGTCCTGGGTGCGGAGAAGGGCGCGAGAAGTGCGAAATGGAGGGGGAAACTGAAAACAAAAGAGCCAGCCAGATCAACTTTATCATCCAAAGCAATACAAGTGCAACGTGTTTCTTTATGCTTGTGGTATCGAAACGTCTTGAATGACCATGAATGACCCTTGTACATCCTTGTACCTCTAATATGGGGAAGTACAACGCCAATCTCGGGCAGTCCGTCTGGGTGAAGAAGATCTGTGAAAAGTCTCCCATCAGTGTGTCCTCGGTGCCATTCAGTGCCCGTTGCGCACATCTGGGAGATCTGAAATCTCGAGGCCGGCGTTGGTCAGTTCTAGTGTTTGCGTTTGGAGCAGCGGGAATGACTTTAAAATACTGACGAAAAAACACACACTTGCATACAAATACCCCACAAAAGCAACCTCCTTGGCAGGCTCTTCAAGGTATGAATCAGGACTCTGTCGCAGCCTTTCACAAGACACTTCTCCCCCAGACCTTCGTCCGGAGGGACTTGTGAGTTTCATTCGCCGAGAGGCCCACAAACTGTCAATGTCCTCCACCCCGTCGAAGATGGAGTCCATGTTAGCCCGCAGCTCTGATTCAATCATATAGACATCTGAGATGTCCTGCGATCTTGAAAACGAGGCGGTAACGTGGTGAGCTTGGTGATAGTGGGCGTTCCAAGCTGGAGTTCCATCAGAGTGCACTTGGTTGGGTTTCCTTGCTTGGACGATTTCGCTGCTGGAGGGCAGCAAACTTGGGAGGGAAGCGTCGAAAACTGCCGCCTCCACTGCCGCCTCCACCATGTGTGCTGTGCGTGGACAAACTGGGGCACGGCCCTGGTGGAAAAATGACCTCCCCACACGACTCTCTCCTCGTGGAGCATAATCGATGCCGAAAACCTCGGTGCTGAGAATCAAAACCTACTAGCGATGGCCTGCAACCGATGGCCTCCAACCGACTAGCAAAGTCATCTCGTGAGGAACTTCCTATTCCACGGGGGTCAACTGAATGTGTGTGCGGAAGTTTGTGCTAGGAGCAAGAAGCTACTAAGGGCTCCTGGCCTTACTACTAAGAGCAAGGACGCTACTAGTAACAAGAAGGCTAGGTTGTAGAGCGCTGGAGCGCCACTGCCAAGTGCCTAAAGAGCACGAGGCATGTCGATAGAATTGCTTGGAGAAACGTAAAATCCCCAGAAATTTGGGAGCGTGGAATCTTGATGTTCCAAATGCTGGCCAAATGAGGTCCTTCTTTCATGTTATTCATTTCTCTAATGTCCTTCCGAGCATGCTCTTTCGAGCAAGCGTCGAGAGTCTGACTACGAAACACTGAATACTGTTCCGAATGCCATTTTGAGCCCTGCATCAAGATCTCCAAAACACATTATATAACAAAACTCTCCCTCTCTCTCTCTCTCTCTCTAGCAGTGGAAGGCTTTGAAGCTGATCGTGTTGGAACAGCCCCCGTTGCACTAGCCTGCTGAAGGGTCTCCAAAGAAGGATAACCCCGTCATACCTTGCTGAGAAACTGTCATTCAACGTAATAAAGCAGCCTCACGACAAATGACAACATCAACTTCTAGATTCTAGCTACAGTTTCCTCTTTGGTAGAGGAAACGGATAGATCATTTTTCCACATCATCTCCCCCTCGTGCCAAACCGGTCCGAGAGGACAGCATGTGTTCGGACCGAGAGGCAAAATGAAGTACATGAAGGCCAAGGGCAACATGAGACAGCCCAACAACTTCTCCCGCTGCTTCCGCACAACCATTTTCACCGCCTGCCATGTCCGAACTGGAGCGGTTCTTCGTGTGAAAACCCCATTTTCACGAGCACAAGTTGAGCACAAGGTGCCACGCCGGATTTCCAACCGGGACCGGAACAGTTTGGAGTGTCGGTTCGAAGTATAAAAGTCGTTATGTGGCTCATTCACCGATCGACTTGCCGGCTTAAAGGGAGGACTTGTGTTCCAAGATCCCTGAAGTCCCTAAATCCAAGTAACGCATGTCCTGCACCAACCACTGGATGCAGTTTCATACCACGTCCACCTTTCCAGCTCCCAGAGCAATCTGATCCGATCCCAGAAATCTGCATCCTGCCTGTGTTTCCGTGCCTTCCTGCGTGTAGATCAGATTGCTATAGGTCAGCATGCTACCAGCCATGAGCCTCAAGTGCTTAAACAAGCGAGTTGTGCTGACGCGAGTGCAGTGAATAGTAGCTAAAGACCCGCTTAGTGGCGTCCGTTCTTGTGTGTTTGAAGTGAACAAACATGCAATCATCACCTAGAAACTCCCGTGAGTTGCTGTGAGCGATTCACCCTCAAAGCCCCACGCCTGATGTCATCATCCAGGGACCGCTGCCGCGTCCCTTTCTGCGCCGACTCCAATATCTGGCAGTCGAGAGAGTCTCGTCATTGTGACTGCCTCTTTAGGTAGCTAGCTTGTCGCAACGACATCAGACATATTCAGGTCTTACCCAATAAGCTTCAAAAGTACTTGTATGTGTCTGTATATGTGTATGATATATATATATATATAGCTTTGTGTTTGCACCTACTTCTGCACATTAGCAACACGAAGTTTGCCCTACACTTCCGCCGTCGAGCCAACTGACCGGTCGAACTGCCCCCCTTGAAGCACTGGGCCTTCGACATGGCCTCAGCTTTGAAGGTCGCTTGTGAGACGCTTCTCCTTTGAGAAGCTGGAGTTCCTTTGGCTCCGCCCAAGCCACCCGAAGGTCAGATACTGCTTGTTGACTCCAGGAGGAATGTAGGACCTTTGTATTCCCCAACAACCACCGACATGGACCCCACATGCAGCTAATTCTGCTTCGCTGTATCTTGTCCTGTTGAGCCAATAAGGTGAGGCTTCGGGACAGAACTCAAGTCTGCCGAAGGTTCGCTGTCTACTTTCTCCAACCATAAAAGTTTGGGCCAGTTGGGGAGTCCTTTGAAGGCTTTCCAATTTCCCCACTTACACCGCTGGCCACTCCCACCCATCTCACAGCACCCAGCCTGAGAATGTTTGTTCTGAAGAGTCCCCAATGAGCCAATTCGATGATATTAGAGTTTCCACACGATTCTAGATTTCAAATACAGGTGGTTCTCTTTTGGATTCATTTGGCATCCAATCCTCGCTGCAACAGCTGCTGCTCTTTTGGGGCACATCATGCTACTCCTCGCAGGTGCGCTCAAGTTGCTGAATTCTTCAACCAAACTTCGATTCAGTAGCAGTGTGGAGTGTGGAAACCCCAATCAACGCATCAATGAATCACTATTCAGAAGAGGACGTCTTTTCGTCTATCCAAGCCATATTCAGAGTCTATCTATGCATTGTGGAGGTTGCTGTCGTACCTGACCTGACCCAGGACACCAAAGAAACTCAACGAGACATGCTCCCGTTTCGTTTACTTCCATGCTCTAGGCTGTTGATGATTCTACCACGGGATCTGTGGGGCAAGAGTTCCCGCTCCACAAACGCTCAGTGTCTCGAGTCTCGCGCGTGTTCTCCCACCATTTTGTGTCACATAGCGTCCGATTGCTCCGTTCGTAGTACGGCCAGGAGCCCCTAGGAGCGTTCTTGTTACTACTAGTAAGGCACTTGTTACTAGAAGCGATGCCAGGAGCCCCTACTAGCGTCCTTGCTCCTAGTAGTAAGGCCAGGAGCCCCGTTCGTAGCTTCTAAGCCTCATACTCGCTATCTGGATGGTTACAGTAATACCGACACAACCGCCTCGGAAACCGCGACGACCTCCAGTCCCCTCCTTTCTGCACAACATCCGAAACCCCGTCCACCACTGCCCAAGTTATCATCCAGAACATCTGAATTCCTGCCTTACGAGCTACTAACCTCAGCTGCAAACCTACGTCTCCCCTGCAAAATGCCCAACTGCGTGACACAACAAAAGCTGCACAATCGGAAGAGACTAGACATCATCCCCTCAATGTTTGATTGATTTCTCGGTGAGCTCCTGAACCCCAGAGGGTACAGTTGCCTGAACTCCCCCAGCAAAGACGACTCTGGGGTGGCCCCCGTTCCCAGGCTCCTCATCCTCCAAGATCCTCTGCGTCTCCGCCTGTAACTTGTCCAGGTCGCTGCGTTCGAAGAAGCTCTCATCCTGACGTCACGGTGCAACGCCCTGGACTTCAAGAATCGCAAGTCCCCAGGAGTCTGTGTAGGTAGCGTCCAAATCAATTGTTGGAAAATGTTGGAAATATGTTCCACTGACTAGTAGTCTGTTCATGCGAAACTAGAATCACTTCCAACCGATAATCAAACAAATAAAGAGCAAAAATCAAACATCAGATTTTTGTTGAACGAAAACCAACATACCCACTCTTGGATCACCCGGCCAGCCTGCTTGCCTTCATGTTTAGCTTGGTTAAGGAAATCGCGCGTCAACCACGGGGTTCGGCAGACTGTATGGGGGGGCATGTTTTAAGAGTAATAAGTAGAGCTTCCGCACGATTCGTGTCCCAAAACACCCCGTGGCGGCTGCTAGAGGAGGAGGTTTCCAAACAATCCAGGCCGCAGAAGTCACCCGGAGCTTCTTGCTCCTAGTAGCGATGCCCTTTGTTACTAGTAGCTTTTTGCTCCTAGTAGTAAGGCCAGGAGCTACTAGTAGCTTCTTGGCCGCCTTCTCCTGTCCCTTTCCAGATCTAAGGCTCTGTGGCACAGCCACAAAGGTCCGGAAATTCGTTCAACTCCCGGCTCTCGTCGACTTGGAGACCTGGGAGAAGGTTCGGTGCTGTCCCCACTAAATTCTGAGGACCCGAAGGGCGCCGTTGTCTCTTCAAGGAGTCCAAGAATGTCTAAGGCTCAACATTGCTATCGAAAGAAAAGCAGAGTCAGCTCTAGCATGTCTACTGTATTTAAAAGAATTTTCCGTCTGAGTATGAATGCGTATTGCATACTTACTTATACATATATATATATATATGTAGAATGTGCCTGAAACTCCGCGACCCCCAGGGCCGGGGGCTAACATGGCAACTTTGGGGCTCGGAGTTTTGTGGGCATATCCCCTCATCAACATGAGAGCCGATCAAAAGTAATTGGTCCCAATCAAAAATGGAGACTCTCGCCACAATGTTGATTAAACTCTAAAAATAAAGGATTCCAGCCCACAACAGGGCCCCTCTTCATGGCTTCACCCGAACAAATCCGACCAATAAAACAGAGGCCCATGCCTAAATCCGTGTCCTGGTAGTAGCCCGCGGCCAGATCGGCAGACCACATGCAGGAGATCTGCTCAGGTTTCCTGGTCGGAGATGCTTGGTGTATAGTGCTGACCACACCAACAGCCAAATAATCTGGAAGAGTAAAGTTCTCCATCCTCTGCCTCCCTCCCGCGGCTAGCACATCAGTGTGGCTCCAAGCATGGACGTGGAAAAGTGTTGGGTCTTCATCCAGCAGCACCGGACTGTATGCACAGCAAAATAGAAGGATATCAATAGATATATCTCATACATCCTTTCCAGGCATTCTTTAGGGGCAAACTCCAGCAGCCAGGGGAGAGGCATGGCAGCCAGGTATCTATCTCAGTATAAGCCAAAGGGGTGTGTTGTGTTTCTTCCGGGTTGACTGGTTTATTTCCCGAAACTTCCAGGAAGTCGAAGTTTTGGGTCGGTCTCCCCATTTGTTGCGACACCGAACCGAGGCACACGTGGTGAATCGCCCAAGTGCGATTGGTCATCTTCGACCACAAGTTCTGGTGACAACCTCGACCGAGGCGGAGGGCCAAGACGGTCAGTTCGTTGGAAGATGGTGACACGGGACCATCACGTTCCATTGAGAGTAAGAGAAACACGGAGGGACCATGTTTAACCATCTACAAACATGACTTGGAGGTGGCACTACTAAGTTGGAGGTGCTGAAGACTGAAGACCTGGTATCTTTTCTTTTTGAAAGTCTTGGTCCCGTCCGTCATGCACAAGAAACGTCTGAACATCCAAGGGGTGGCTGGTTGACACCCCCGTTGAGAATACCAAGCCATGTAGCTGCGATTGCCTTGGGTTCCCAACTTCTTGCACGGAAACCGCATCAAACACTCCGGTCTTCGCAAACGCATCGCTGCCACGGAACTCGGCTCCATCGCAAAGACTCGGTTGTCAAAGTCATCCTGCGACGGTCTGCGGAAAAGACCATGGTGGTCGTGGAAAAATTCTGTTTTGCCAAGGGCATGGGCTGGGCAGTTGAAACAGCTACTGGAAACAAAAACCAACCAGTGGATGCTCCCGTCCGTGTGGCCTTCCTTTGGAGCGGATGACCTGGTCATACAAAATGTTCACGCCAAAAAGCTCGGAGGGTGGCCAGCTGATCTGGCCACCTTGGTCGCTCCGTCCTTTGTCCTTTGTTGGTCTTGCAGCATCAACAAGCCTAAAGCATCCAGTTCCACAGACCGTACACGTGGTGCATATCAAGTGTCGGGTTGGGTTTCGCGCTTCAAATCATGTGATGGTGGCATGGTCATCTCTGCCAGCGATGAACAATAGAGAATAAGCTCGGATGGAGTTCAGAGGAGTCTTACAACATTGATTGGGTCTCAAACTGTTACAGTAAAGCCCTTCTTCAAACTTGGCACTTCAACTGTTTAAATCAGGACATCTAACCAGTGCTGCAGATCTACCCTCCCCTACATTCCTGCGCTTCGTTGGTTCTCCCTCCAGCCCTGCAGGCCCGCCCAGTCCAAGGTCAAGGATGGTAGGGGATCATCGCCCAGCAGAATTTGTCTCAAGTGGACCCCAATGCACGGGTCATCCCCTGGCAGTTCGTAGTTCGTTGTCGGGGAGCTCGTCCCCAGAGGGAAAGTGCAAATGTTGGAGATGGGGAACCCGGCTGGGACCCAGTTGGATAAAAGTGAAAATCATTGATTTCTGTCCTTTGGTGAACATGTGTGTGTGTGTGTGAAAACTTCTATGGGACCCTTTTGGTCCATGGTAATCCCAGTTTCTTACAGCCCCTTCATTGGAGAGATCTCCTTTGATCTGATCTATCTATCTCGCACCAATGTGAAAAACCCACAATTCATTAGCCTGACAAGCATTGAAGGTGACCAGGCTGGGAGTCAGCACTCTGATACAAATGCATGCTATTGCATGTCTAGCAAAAAGTTGACACTCCCAAGCTTGGTTGGCGTAGGCAAGCGGTTTGGAGATCCATTGTGTGAACCATTTCCTTTGAGCTAAATCTGGGCGGCAAGACCATAGATCATTCGCAGCCGCCCCTGCCAATCGCTGAGGAGCCATCCGTGAAGAGTTGGCAACTACATAGGGATCGAGTTCAGACAAAGAGAGAGAGAGAGAGAGAGAGAGCGCGCGCCGGACGGAATCAGGTTTCTTGTTAAGGGAACCAGCAAGTACCAAGGCTCATCCAATCCTGCCCTGCTTGAAGGAGTATTTTAATCCTTGAGCCAACTGTAAAGAGAGAGGGGCAAACCGCATCACCATGTGACCTCTGTGACCCGCCGCCTCCTGGCTGGCTTTGGCCAGAAGCCGCACCACATCCATGGACAAGACCCGCACCACACCCCGCGGGTAGGGCGGGAAGACGGGGAATGGGAAGGTCTCCTGGGAAAACGAGTCGGGAGGGCGAAGGAGCTGACTGACTTTGCTGCCGATTCCGCTGATGACTTCTTTCGATCATCAGCTAGCCTCCAATATCTTCAAATGTTTTGTGGAGTTGCAATTTTCATGATTCAGATTGGTCAGAGTAAGTTCCAGGCTAGAATCAGCACATCTCTTGAAAGGAAACACCATCGAACAACCTCTGCGTTGTGTGCTTTGGTCTCCAACTTGATAAAAGTCAAGAGCTCGTCCCTTCCCTCGGTCCTCAGGGTTGTAGAAGTTGTCATCCTCATCCCGTGGCACCGGGCTGATATAATCGAAAATCGCCCAAGCGTACCTCAGACACGGCACACAGGCCACACGCCCCCTCAACTGGTGACGAGCCGACCCATCACGAGCCCACACACCTACAACGCTGGCTCGTCAAAAGCAAGTGCCTCGCAATCCAAGGCGAGTCCAATCCGGGAACGAAAAAATCGGGAAAGGCAAGTCCACCGGTTCTCGTTCCAAGCGTCTGTGCGGGGATCCGACGCTCCAGCTGCCTGTCATGACCCCAAAGCTCGTACCCGGTGGGATCCGGTGTGGTTCGACAAAGGCCCCGCTGAAGCATCATAAGCATGGCACAGCTATTGTTTTTTGAGTTGCTTGCTTGCAAAGCTGCAACAACACTCTCTTTGAACCAACATCCAGAAAATCCGTTTCTTCATAAGTCCAAGTTGGAGCATTTGAAGCTGGCACACTCAACATGAAAACTGAAATCCACCGTGACCACAAAGGTATTCTGGCATTCACAAAGTGGTGGGAACAACTTGCCTCAGCAACGGCGTGGGGCGCAGGTAGACCTCGGTGCGACAAAAACGGAGGCTGGAGGCTGGAGAGAATCCTGGTTGTGACAGTGTTCAATCTAGCAATGGCCTCCAACCTAACAGCGATGGCCTCCAACCTTTTTCCCCAAACAGTTTACTGTTAGGGGTTCTCTTCCCCAAACAGTTTACTGTTAGGGGTTCTCAATGCTTTAAAGAATGGTCGCCTTGGTGCTGGATGGTCTGGTAGGGTTCGCGGCTGGCTTGTCTCCCACTTCTTTTCATTTGTCTCCCAGTTCTTTT